GGCTTCCTGGAATCAGCCGCTGATCAGTTTCAGCAGCAGCTGACTTGGGGATGCCTGGGGTTCTTAAGTTGAATCTGTATGTAAGTCAGAAATGGCGTCCAGATTCAGCCGCTGTTGAAACTGATACAGCTTCTTTTTTTCTTTTTTAATTAAGAAAGTGTCATCAGCTTTGATATAGCTCTAGGTTTGGACTTCTAGACTTGAATCATACCTGGAAAAAGTTTTCATTTGCTTTAAGCGGTTAACTGGCCAGGTGGAGCGCTCTAGTCCAGCAGGAGCAGCCCCTGCCCATGGCCGGCCCAGCCTGGCTGGATTCGCCTGTGGTGTGGCAGGCCTGGCCAGAGTGACCCTCTACTCTCAAGATCCCAGTTAAGTGGTTAATTGAGTAAACATAATGTTTAACCGATTCACTGATTAAATGGGTTTTTATATCCTTATTTAGTATTAATGAAACTGTGTGTGATTTGCATTGGGGATCTGAAATTATTTCACTGAATAATTTAATCACAGGAAAAATACACATTAGGATTGACCAAAACTGTCTGAATTTGGTGAATAGTTTTGGCTTAAAAGAAAAGTGTGGGGGCAAACTCAAGACATTTCCTAAGAAAAACATATTTTACTTTTTTTTTTTTTTTTGTTTCTAGATTTAATTAAATTAAACTACAGAATTTAAAATAGGGTAAAAATATCCCACAGATGTAACTGAAACTTTTTTTGTTTCAAAACAATTTTTTTTTAGTTTTTCTTTTCAGCAAGAAAAAACACATTTTTGTTTGTGTTATTTCAATTTAGCTACCATATTGAAAATCAGTTCTTCATACAGCTCTATTTTGGAAAAAAAATAGACTATCATAATAAGCATGATTTAAGTAGAAGTAATGGGATTAATATAAACCAAAGGAAAATTCAGCCAAATATTAGGTGAGGTTGCATATATACATTAGGCTCCCAATGTAGAAGCGGTGTGTTGGTGCTGCATATGTCAGCAAATCAGTAGAAACACTGGAGGGAGTAGAGGAACATCTAACTTTCTTGTGCAGTATGTATAGTTACTATACTTACATGAATTGTGGTGCACATGGCCCACAGTCACTATAGAAACTGAGTACAGTAAAACCCCGATGGTCCGGCATCTGACGGTCCGGCACTCTTGATGGTCCAGCACCATCAGGAACCCGGAAGTGCTCCGGGCAGCGGGACCATGGGAGCTGCTCTGCCCCCAGCTTCCCCGATTCAGCCGCTGCTAAAACTGACCAGCGCTGAATCCGGGAAGCAGGGGGCAGAACAGCTGGAGTGCTGCTGGGTAGGTCCAGTAGCGCTGCCCCTTAGGGCTGCGGGACCAACCCGGCAGCACTCCAGCTGCTGTGCTACAGGTGTCCCCGATTCAGCCGCTGCTAAAACTGACCAGCGCTGAATCCGGGAAGCAGGGGGCAGAACAGCTGGAGTGCTGCTGGGTAGGTCCAGTAGCGCTGCCCCTTAGGGCTGCGGGACCAACCCGGCAGCACTCCAGCTGCTGTGCTACAGGTGTCCCCGATTCAGCCGCTGCTAAAACTGACCAGCGCTGAATCCGGGAAGCAGGGGGCAGAACAGCTGGAGTGCTGCTGGGTAGGTCCAGTAGCGCTGCCCCTTAGGGCTGCGGGACCAACCCGGCAGCACTCCAGCTGCTGTGCTACAGGTGTCCCCGATTCAGCCGCTGCTGAAACTGACCAGCAGCGGCTGAATCAGTCCGCTCTGCCCCAGGAGTCCCTATCAGAAGGGAGGGCTATGAGAGGGTCTGGGGTAGCATCCCCCCACCCCAGACCCCTCATAGCCCCCCCTTCTGATAGTCCAGTATATCTGATAATCCGGCACCCCCTAGGTCCTAAAGGTGCCGGATTATCGGAAGTTTACTGTAGTAGCCTGTGACCTATTTCATTTAATTCCTGCAACAGGTTAGCTATAGAGATGCTTTTTAGGGTATGTCTATCAGCAGTGTAAGACTGGGGTTAGTGAAACTTGAGTTAGCAGTCCCTGGGTTTGAGAACCCAGGACTTGAGCATGTACACTGATGATTAACCCTACATTAAGTTTTTTCCTAACCAGATTTGAACCTGGGACTCTGGCATCAACACTGCAGCTCGCAAACATGAGCTGAACTATATCCCCAGAATTCCTAGTGCCTTCCCTGAAATATAGCCATCACCATGGTGGGAAAACTTCACTGTTCACCCACACATTACAGGAAGTTTGAATAGTCTGCTAACACCTCCTGCCAAGCTTTCAGTTAGGTCTGTGCACGCCCAGATACCGAAGTGAACAATATGAAGGAAATAAATCAACACCTTCGCATATTTAGAGTGTGTGCAATTTCCAAGTAGCTTTTCAGAGCCACTGAAATATTCTGAATAAAATCTTATGATATTAGCAGATTGTATACAGATATAATGGTTTCGCAGTCAGGGTGTGATCTACAGGAACTTTATTTGCCTTGTGGGGATTGTATGCATTTAGATGAAAATGCGTAGTTCTGGTTTTGATTTTGTTTTAATTTGTCACTGAATGGCATTCATGTTTTGTTGGCTTTTTAGTGGTGTATCTAAATGTGTATTGATAGTCATACAGCACAGGAAGATTAGAACATTATATTGGCTTTTTCTGGTTGGTATCTGAGGTACAGAATATG